AAGTGTCGTGGGGGGTGCTGGAGCCTATCCCAGCCGTCTTCGGGCAACAGGCGGGGTACATCCTGAACGGATTGCCAGCCAATCGTAGGGTTTTCTATTTTTAGAATTTCATTCATCACTGAGAATGTGAACATAAACATTTTCTTCTTCTCTGCCACCTGTTAAATATTGATATTTATAATACACTTTGAAGAGCTGTATTCATATTGGGCCAAATCACTGGACATTTTCGTCTTCGCTGCCTTGATGGAAAAAATAAGGCTCATGTCGCACGAGCTCATGAGAAAATAAAAAATTACACGTGCGCAGTAGAAATACTCATGCTTTCCATGAGTGCCAAGGATATCAAACATTTAACATACCTGTTGATATGTCTTCCATCCTGACAACACCCACACAGGATCTTTGGTACCATTCACCAGATGTCGTGGAAGTGACTGAACACTTCAGAGGCGTGGAGACCATAAAACCTGTATTATGCTCCTATTTGAAAGATGAGCTTGATCCACGTGGATTCAATGGGCACCTTGCTATAAAGAGGTGCATGAGACCGTAAACGTTTTAAGGTTCCTTGTAGGTGGATTTGTGCTGCAAGAAAGTGGTGATAAAGAAGATTGAAGTCAATTATTGACCAGGAGACTTTTGGGAGGATTGGTTTGGAGATTGGAGATTGTTAGGTGGTGATTGGGAAATTGAAAGCTTCAGTGATGAGATGAGGTTCTGGGAGCAACTGGGATGATTGTAACTGTTCTAATCGGAGAGGTGGGTTTGATTGGCAATCTTAAGGGGAGCGAGGCTGTGCTTAGTGAACCTGTGCAAGTCGACCTGAAAGAGGATGATGGTGGAAAGGGAGAGAAATGCACATCCAGGATTGGGGATCTAACACTAGCATAAATAGAGAGATCAGGAGAAGATGAAAGAGGAGTTTGGGAAATGTTTGCGATCTCGGCTTGATGATGTGGAAATGATGGCAAGTGTAAGATTTGTGGGGAACCACAGTGGGGTTTTGATGTGTGGATTGTGGGAGAGGAAGAAGACCTCTGTGGCCGTGTGGCTGACGTTAAAATGTTTGGACTTTCAGCGGTGGAGTGTGATGACTTACTCTAATTGGCCAGCACTGTGTGCAAAGCAAAGAAAATTTGCTCATTACGTCTACGATCACATGATTTTTATTTGAACACAAGAACAGCTTCCACAAAGTTATTGAAAACATTTCTTGAAACGTGTTAAGAAAAGAAGGTATTTAAATTGTTTGGACATTCCATTGTAATTTTAGAAAAAAAAAATCAATCTTATAATCATGGGTGCACAAAATAATTTTAGTGTGGTTCTCAAAGGAGCACCAGAAGTTTTGGTGTGAGGATTTATTTGCTAAAATAAACTGGATAAATATTCATTCATATTATTGGGAGGTGGCACGGTTGACAACTGGTTAGCACGCCGGCTTCACAGTGCAGAGGTGAAGGGTTTGATTCCGGCTCCGGCTTTCCTTTGTGGACTTTGCATGTTCTCCCGGTGCCTGCGTGGGTTTTCTCTGGGTATTCCGTTTCCTCCCACATTCCAAAAACATGCATGGCAGGCTGATTGAACGCTCAAAATTGTCCCGAGGTGTGAGTGTGAGCACTAATGGTTGTTTGTCTATGTGTGCCCTGCGATTGGCTGGCAACCGGTTCAGGGTGTCCCCCGCCTACTGCCCAAAGACAGCTGGGATAGGCTCCAGCACGCCTGCGACAGTGGCCGACGTGCACGAAACCTTTTCCAGAATGCACCAGCCGTACGGAGGTTTTCCCGAATTGCAAATGGCCACTACAACCCTGACATAAACTGTGCACGATCAGTAAAAATCAAACACTGTTTGATCTATGTTTCAGTCGCTGCAAGTTTCCCCCATCTGTCCCACAGCCCTCATCACTGACATTGACTAAAGACTGCCGCGAACAATCCCTCCATCTCATCATCATGTGGGACTACCTGACAGCTCAGTAAAAATGACTGTGGAAAAAAAAAAAGTGTTCCCCACAGGATGTCATGCCAACACAATTAATTATTCATGGCCACCCACTCTCTCAAAATCAAAGACAGGAGATGAGACACTGGCAAACACGTTGTAATTATTATGCATTATAAAAGTTGTAACTGTTGGAAGGAATAGCTTATCAGCATCTTCTAATTTTGCATTTCCCTAAAGTCACAGGAGTCTTCGAATTACCATCCAAGCAATGCCATATCAATTATTACCGTCGGCATACAAATCAGACCCATTGTTTGAAAAGTGTTTGATACAAAGTCAATCCTGTACTCTCAGAACATTCTCTTTCGATGTGAATCGTTTGAAAATGTCAGAGAAAGAAAGAAAAGAAAACCGTACATGATTGTGACTGTAGTGCAGGACGGCATCGTGAATGGCTCCCTTTTCAATTTTCATGATTGTTAATTTTTATTTTGTTTGTTTTTTTAAAGTTTTTTTTTCTTGAAAATGCTTGATTTTAGTTTAGTTTTTATTAGCTTTAGTATTAGCTTTAGGTTTGTGTGCGAGCGCGCGTGTGTGTGTATATATTGTGTGCAAGATTTAAAAAGTACAAAATTTCACCATAGGTATTGTGCAGTAAACACTCAACAAAAAGATTATTTTAAAACCATTTTAAAAACAAACATGTAGAGATCAAATATAGTCCATAGACTTAAAGGGGAAGACAACCCCCACATTTGCATTCTGATTGCATTCTGATGAATATTGCATTTGTGCAATATGAGTTAAGCATCCAAATCTACCTGTTGTTCGCCATCTCAGGGCACGGCCATTTTGCCACTTTTTTTGAACTGAAAATAACATCACAGTTGCTCAGGGCTCAGGTAATAACCAATCACGGCTCAGATTCAGAAACCAGGTGAGAATTAATTAGTTTTCATTAGTTTTGCAAATGTATAAGGTAGTTCCAATAAGTTTTTTGTTTTTTTTAAAGCATGTTCATTTTCATTTTATTTTGTTCATGAAAATGTTTTTTTTAGCTTTGTTTATTTCTCTAGTTTTCGTCAAGAATAATAACCATGGTCAACACATGATGGAGGTCAGAGTGACATCATTTTTGTTTGTTTGTTTGTTTATGTTTTCCATATTGGCCACTGCTCATTTGACATTCAGAATGTGTTTCACTGCATGCGCTGTTTGTTTACAGCAAAACTCCCCCGAGGAGTGTTTATAATGACTTCTGCTCATTGACTGCAGCTCATTTCAAATGTAATAAACACTAATAGGGGAACATTTAATGCCTCCAAGATCAGTGGAATTCTTCATCGAGTGTGCACATATTGACCATAGTTACAATAGTTTTTTTCCTCAATCTCTTACACGAACTAAATGTTTGTATCCAAAACGTGACATTGACGTTAACAGTGGTGCAGTTTTGAATAATGCGCTGGGAATCAAAGCTGATATTTGAAGGTCAAATGCTTTTTACTTCCGACTGTCCGTGAATACTCTGGTTCTGTCTAGGCTTGCTACAGCAAGAGAAGTTCACGATTTAGTCAATTTTCAGCCACCAAATTGTCAAGTCTACTGAGGTCATGTAAAAGAGCATGCCCATGGTCCGCCGGAACATTTGGCATGGTGGAAACTATCCACCAAATTGGCCGGACAAGATAACCGAGGGTGGCACTAGCACCAAAAAATCAGAATGTGGCAGTTTTAATGTCGAGCGCAACTGCAGTGTCTACAAATATAGATCTTTCCCGGAGGTGTCAAGAAGCAGCAGTGGAAGAGGATGAAATGTGAAAACGAGATCCTTCCAAGGTCACCTCTGATTTATGATCCAGCTAGGTTGTAGAATTTTACATGAGACTCTGATTAATTTCTTCATGGGGTCTGCAGGCTACAAGGGTCTGTGACGATCATTGGATTGAGACGGGTTTTGCAAAACTGCAGGTTGTGAAAGCTGAAAGCAGATCTTTGAAATAATGGCACCACACTATAACCTGTGTGAAGTGCATTTTGCACCAAAACAATCCAACTATATATTGTGCAGGGGGTTTTTTTTCTGTACCTTCAACCCGCTCTGCACAATATTCTCTAGAAATTGGTTTAATCGTTTCTAGTGTGTGTTATGCTAACAAAGAAAAGGTGATGATCCATGATCTCATTGGCACGGGTAATAAAGTCAAGTTATCAACTTTTCGCTGTACAGATTTTCTCAAAGGGCTCAGTGCCTTAATCACAGATACTTTGACTTTGACTTTGATGGAAGGAGGTGCTCCCGGAGAATTCAGGTCATTGTCCTGACAACCCCTCGAGTCACAGGACCGGTGATGTTTACGACTTCAATACACCTCTTTCCTCGGTGAGTTCGATAAAACAGCTCACACTCCAACCTTCACTCTTAGATACGTGTTAAAATTCAGCGTCTCACTCTTTCTTTCCACCAGCCAGCCGGTCCCTCTGTCTCTTCATTAAGCTCTGCCACCAACATGGCTTCAGGCTTATTGCACTTAGATTGGCTCCCTGCTCTGTTCCTCACTCAAAGGCTGCTGCGGCGGGGGACTTCAAGCGGTCCTGCTCAGGTGGTCAGTGGGACCTAAAAGTGCACTCTAGCGCTCATCCCCTCTAGCCCAGTCTCCGGTGGGCTACTCAGTCCGAGAGGTGGCGCTTAAATAAAGAGCTATAATTACGGGGATCTGCGGAAGCCGAGCTCTCGTGAAGTCAATAGCACAACGTGTGCTGAGAGAATGCCTTGTGAGCTAACGGCATGTGGAGACTGAGAGGCAGAAAGAGAAGCATTGGCAAGGCAGGATGTTAATATTTAAAAAAAAACAAAAAACTGTAAATGCATGAGTGCAACAGTAAAAGCAGCCCCCAAAAGTCAGTACACACCTCAAATATAAAAAAATGTGATCAAGACAATTCGGGTATGGACTCATTTTTAAGGAGACATATTCGTGAACATATAATGAACATCTAGGCTTGGAAAAAAAAGTGTAGGAATATAAAGTAAAATCACAACTATTCAAGAATTAAATTGTTGTAAGATTTATTTTCAATCACGTGTTGAATCTAACACTCAGACATATTTTTGTTACACAACATTAATCACGTTCATTTGTCATATGTTCTTGCACATTGACTGATGTTGGTCCACTTGATGGATCTTTGAATTCTGACATTCGACATAGTGTTTGGCCGCCTTCACTGTTCGTGCAGTTTACCTGTTCACAGTTGCACAACCAAAGGGGAAGTGTACGTTTTCCAAGGACGTTCATATCGAACAATATGTACTGCCAATCATTTATTATTAGTGCTTTTGACTGCTGATTTGATTTGACCAAATAAACCAAACGAATATACCTTTGAAGGCCACATTTACAGTACTGACCAGGTCATTTATATAAAATGACGACAAACCAACTCATCACATCATACCCTCTTGAATTGAGTCAGGTCACATTAAGTCGCATCTCACTGAATCGAACCAAAAACAAATTATTCGACTAAAATGAACTGGATGAATCAAATCGCACCCCTTGTATCGCGATATGTATTGAATCATCTTGCACACCACTACTACATCTGGATTGTATTAATAGTAGAAGTAAATGTTGTAAAACGTAATAAAACACCGATACTGAAATACTAAACAATACTCAAGTGTTGCATGTGAACGAATCTGTACCTGCGGTACCTCTTGAGAAGCAACCTGTCCATATAGGAAAGACTTCTTTCAGGGAACTGCACCTGGACGGGTATGCTGCTGCCTTCTCCTTCATGGCCTCTCTCTGGAGGGAAGTCAGTTTGGGCTGCTTTACCTGACATTGATACTGGGGGAGAATATACAAAAATAAAGTTGGGTGAGAGAGAGAGAGAGAGAGAGAGAGAGAGAGAGAGAGAGAGAGAGAGAGAGAGAGAGAGAGAGAGAGAGAGAGAGCAAACAAAGCCCACCAATGTGTCAGACCAAAGTAGAATGTGCAACAACAACGTCTTCTCTAAAAGGGGAAAACATCTTTTCATTGCTGCCTACAGTCAGTGACAAACACAGGCAGGCAATCAGTAAGGCCCATATAGACTAGCAACGGGATGCATGAAATACAACAGGAACAACTACAAAAGAAAAAAAAATGCAGATGGAAGAAATAAAGAAAAACGTTATGATTGCTCTCAACACTTAAGAAGTCCACAGTGGCAGCTTGAAAGTGGACCTGTGTGCCAGTGGCTTGACAGAAATAATTAGAGCTGAAGGGGTTGGCAGTAATTTGCGGAGTAGAGCAGAGAGGGAGAGGGGGGGAAAAAAATCTGTCCAAATAGTAAGGCAGAGAAAACAGGGAAGCACTATAGACACACAAAAACTAGAATAACACCACTAGTAGCACAGACATAAATATGCAGACATATGCTCTGCTGCACATGCAGAGCCAATATGAGATGGAAGGCGGTTTGTACAAATACACATCCGCATGCACATGGCTGAGGGGAATCGGGGCAGTGGAGTGGCGTACAGCCACCCATAGCACTTCTCTCATTATCGCAATATGCAACCGCCGTGGATTATTTTTCTTACTGCAGCGGCAAGCACTTTCTGGAAGCCCTGAACACATCAGCGTAGAGGGAAGGGAAAGGGGCAGCGGGAACCACTCGGGACTTTGTGAAAATAGCGCAGGAGGAGAAAAAGTTGGGATGTCGCATGAACACGGCGGGCAGGATAGGACTGTTGTACAAGTTTTGCCGTAATTTCGATGTAGCTGGAGACAGCGGGGGTTACCGTGAGGGCATGTTATCATGCATGTTTTTGGAATGTGGGAGGAAACCGGAGTACCCGGAGAAAACCCACACAGGCCTGGGGAGGACATGCAAACTCCACACTGGGAGGCCTGAGCCGGGACTCACGACCTCTGCACTGTGAGGTCGAAGCGCTAACCACTGGACCACCGGGCCGCCCAAAATTAAAACATTTTCACAAAATATATTTATAAGGGCATGAGGAAAAAAATGGTTCGGCAACAGCCGATCTCCCTTTTCTCTCAGGTCGTAGATTTCAAAGTAGTGTTTTGGGTACTGTTTGTGTCAAAATAATAATACAAAGAACAGAATTATAATGGTGGTGATAGAATTTAAATTGAAGCCAATTGATCACTGATTTTTAGCCGTTGAACTTGGATGTACCACAACATTAAAGGACGATTTTGCATTATTTCTCACCTGTTTGAGTCCAGATTGTTACTGGTTCGATGGCATTATCACACCTTTGGTTTCTCCACTCCTTGAGAGCCTCCTGGAAAGATCTAGCTGACTCCTCCTCATCATACTCTCCACCGAGTAGAGATTTGGCAAAATCCTTTTTAGCATCCTTTGGTTCCTTTTTAGTTAGTTCCGCTCTTGTCTTTTCATCATAATTCCTAATAAACATCTGCAATAAAACAAACAAACAAACAAAACATTTAAGGGAGAAGCACTGAATTAGAAAGCGTGCCAAAATGAGATTCACGCTAATCTTCCCTAATCTACGACTATAACAGCACTGTAAAACATAAATAGAAATTAAATTAGTCACAAAAATCATGTTTCCTGATGAAGGATCACCAATTCTAATCGGTATACTGTCTACTGCCTTTGCATAGCCGAGTACATTGAAGGGACAAAATGGAAGGGACATTTAATGAGATTCTCCAAGCCCATGTGTGTGTAATTGCCAATTTGTGCGGGCAAAAACAAGTAAAAATTCCATTGCCATTTGATACGAAAGCGCAATGTAGATGCTTGGTGACAATAGTGTAATCAAAAACTAATTGGGCAGCTCCTCATTGAAGCGGACATAAGTGCAGGGTGCCATATCAATGTCAACTGTGTGCTCACTTTCTAAATATAAGGCCTACTATATGGTGTAATATGTATTGAATCGTATTAAGCAGTCAGCCTGCTTGAAATTCATTTAATCCGTTGACGATTGACAGTGACGGTCTCTCTCTCACTCTCTCTCTCTCTGTGTGTGTGTGTGTGTGTGTGATATATATATATATATATAGTGAGCCTGATTAGAGCCTAAGAACACCTGAAAGTGATATGGTGCATTAGTGCCCCCATTAGGGGAACTCTAGTAAACCACGTCTATAATGCACACTGATGTTTCTTCTGTGTTCTCAAGTCTGCATGCTTCGCATGATGCTGTGACTGTAAATGATGTATGTCGTACAATCCTACATGCACACAGCAAGAGAGGTCAGAGTGAGGGGCTGAGAATGAACAGGTGCCTGTATACACTGAGAAAAGGGATAATTTTCATTTTCAGAGATTATCTGTGGAAGTCGTAGGGTTTCAAAGCCTTGCTTTGCGCATACTTCACCAATGGCCGGTAAGCAAACTGGCATCGTTGGCTGACTGGGTAGCACTGTTATTTCCCAGCAAAAAAATTCTCCCATTCAACTTCCCCGCTCGAAACACCCAACCAGTATGGAGTAGATATGTTGCAGAGATAAGAAACTTAGGTCATTGCGATTTGGGTTCAAGTCACCATTTTCTTGAGTTGGTTCTTTACAAACACTAAAAGAGTTGAAACTTGACAGCCTTGGAGAGTTAAAAACATGGGATTTGACTTGAGATGGGATGACTCTACAGACTTGACGGTGGGTGACGCCTGGTTAGCACATTGGCTTCACAGTGCAGACGTTCGGTTCCAGCTCCGGCCTTCCTGCATGGAGTTTGCATGCTCTCCCAGTAACCTGCGCGGGTTTTCTCCGGGTACTCCGGTGTCCTCCCACATTCCAAAAACATGCATGGAAGGCTGATTGAACACTAAATCGGGGGTGTCAAACTCATTTTTTGTCACGGGCCACTTCGGAGATATGACTTCCCTTGGAGGGCCGATGTAAAATCTCAACGTTATTTATTACCCATGACAATTTGACATTTCGGTACAGATTTCAGCAAGGATCATGAACGTTGACACACACGATTTGCTCCCGTGGGCCACATAAAATGGTATGGCGGGCCAGATCTGGCCCCCGGGCCTTGACTTTGACACCTGTGCTCTAAATTGTCCCTCAGTGTGAGTGTGAGCACGGATGGTTGTTCGTCTGTGATTGGCTGGCAACCGGTTCAGGGTGTCCCCCCCGCCTACTGCCCAAAGACAGCTGGAATAGGCTCCAACACCCACGCGACCCTTGTGAGGATGAAGCGGATCAGAAAATGGATGGATGGATGGATGGACTCTATGTTTCAATACCTATGTTACAAACCTCTGTGTGTGCACGTGTGCATGAATGTGTGTGTTTTTCGCAAAAGTACAACAATGGAATGCACAAGGGTGCATTGCCTTCTAATGGTGCCATAAAGCTGGCCCTTATTTCCCCTCTTTCACCAGGGGATAAATTAAAGCCACTCTCCCGGGATCAAGCATACTATCAGGCAACAAGCAGCATATCACTACACTCTTCTGTGCAACGCAGGAGGAAATTAGTTCCCTGTTTTTTCGCCTGAATGGGTCTGGAATACTTCACAGTGTTAAGCATAGTGTGTGTGTGTGTGTGTGTGTGTGTGTGTGTGTGTGTGTGTGTGTGTGTGTGTGTGTGTGTGTGTGGGTGTGTGTGTGTGTGTGTGTGTGTGTGTGTGTGTGTGTGTGATGTATCTCAAGTGGGGTCCACGAGTAATGAGGAGCAGGGCTGTTGGGTGGTGGTGATGACAATGAGCCAGTTACCTCAGGCACATCATTCTGGCCGATGCAAAATGGTTGTTGTGATTGTACAAATAATTTATTTTTTAATCATAATTTCACTGTGTTGCAACAAGCTCCTTGATATTGTTGGATGATTCACTTTCCCCTCGCCTGCACACTGAGTCATGCAAGACATAAATATTGAATTAGTGAATTAATTAATTTTTAGGATGGTGAGATGATCGACCGGTTAGCACGTCCGCCTCACAGTGCAGAGGTGCAAGGTTCGATTTCGGCTCCGGCCTTCCTGTGTGGAGTTTGCATGTTCTCCCCGTGCGTGTGTGGTTTTCTCCGGGTACTCAGATTTCCTCCCACATTCCAACGATTCAAAGAGATATATGCCATCATTATAAATGACATGCTAACCAGTCAACTACCATGCCGCCCCCAATAAATTCTTGTCTTCTGGTATTTTCAGATGTGACGGAGGTGCATCAGTGAAGCTGGAGAGCAGTTTTGTCACGAACGTGGTGGTGGTGGTGGTGGACCCCAAAAAGCAGGCAAGAGGGAGGAGCTGGGTGAACTTGACAAACTGTATTCACAAAATACTGAGGAAACTAAATCCGGAACAAACAAATTTCTGGGGACAACAATAATCCAAAGTAACGAACAAAACCCATGGGGACAAAGTTAGCAACAGTGGCGGCAACAATGACAGAAACGACAATGACCCGACACTGAGTGGTCGGCCCAGGAGTCCTTTTAACAGAAAACCTACTAATGGCATGATGACCGACAAGTGTGCCGCTGTAGGAGAAGCCCTACAGAGCCACCCGTTGGTCCCGAACAACTCAACCGTGACAAGTTTGCCATTATACTTAATTTTTTTGAACTATGTTCTTCCTGGTGATTTTTTTTTTTTTTTTTTTTTTTTTACTTTTATTTTAAATTATATCTGTAGTTTTATTATTTGCTCTTGGTTGTACAGTGTCCTTGAGTGCTATGAAAGGCGCTTGCAAATGTAATCTATTATTATTATTATTATTATTATTGTAATGTTTGTAATTATGTCCATCACAAGGGTTACTGCAGATATATATAGCCCATAGAGGTGCAATTTAACTTCACTCAAGCAAAGTACCAGATTACATTAGAACTCACTGTGGGTGAGTCGGCACCACCCCTTCTGCTTTATACTCGTGCGTTTCGACCAATTGAAAAATAAAGTTCTCAGATGTGACAGACAGAAAACTTAGCTTTCTGCTAAATCTCTCGCGAGCATCTCTGCACGTCGTTGATGTTGATGACCATTTGTGCATGTTATGCATTAACTTAATTTAAGAAATAAAAATGAAAAAAGGTCAGTTGACCAAGCTCATCGGATAGTACGGTGCAAACACGTCATTGGAATAAATCTGAGCAGTGAATCCATAATCAGCGTGAAACAAAGAAGAAAGAAAAACACCAAGCGACATGAGGGAGGGAGAGAATCCAATTTCGCATGGGGGCAAAGGAGGCCCACAGGAAAGGGAAAAAAAAAAGGTGTTAATATCTGGTACAGAGTGGAGTATATCAAAAGATGGGAGAGAGAAGGGACATTTATTTGACAGGAGGGGCATCTGATATAGGAATGGGAGTGAACAGAAAACCAGAATTAAAAGCAGCAGAGGTCATAAAATGGAACAGTAGTATTAAAAAATGCAATCAGAAAATAGGCAGATATGCTGTATATGGAATATGTAAAGCGCAAGTTCATCATAAGGATTTATTTGAAAAGCGGGGACATTTTCTCCCCTCTCTTCTGAAACCCCTGAAAAGGCTGCGTGATAATATAACCGAGAGCAAACTGGAAACTGGAAAGGAAACAATATCGAGTATGATCCACGTGGATGCTTGCGCATCTTGTGAGGCCATAAAACCTGAAGAATTCATTCAACCAGCCCACAAAGAAAGGCTTAAAATATGGAACGGATAGCAAGACTTTATTGACATCCCATCAACGAGCGCTGTGGATTTCTGCATACCTGCTGATCAGTCCTGTTGTCTCCCTGTCCACAGAATGATCCCTTCATTTTGCTTTGTCTGGTTGTCGTCTGGGGACAGCAACATGTTTCGCACAGAGGGAGATGAGGTGGAGCTAAGGAGGCAGAGACAGACCGTGATGTCACCATCGTCGTCAAACATAGCACACGGTGCATTGACCGAGTCTTGAGTGGTTGGCCAGTTGCTGAGATTTGCAAGTGTGTCTGGCATATTGAACGTGTCATACGCTGAAAAATACGGTGCGTTGAAGTTTCTCCATTTTATTTTGTCGAGTGGTTCCACGCGATTCAATCATCAGGATTCGTTTTGTTTGTTTTAAGGTAGATGATTTTGATCCAGATGATTTTATTTTGTTCAACCACTTGACAAAATAAAATGGAGTAACACACCATTTTTGTCAGTGTACTAGGATTGTAGATTAATGCAAGTCAGTGGACTTAACTTCATAAATTGCTTGGTGTGTTTTACTAAGCTTGAAGTGGCCATTCCATCCACACTCAGCATTTTGACATTTTGTCATTTTTGGGAAACGTTGTCATGCTCCTACTATGACGTATGAAGCATTTCTGATCATCCGAAAAATGACATACCATACCTTGTTTGGCTTATCTCTTGCACAAACATATATTTTTGTGCGTTTCGGGAAACGCACAAGCACCGAAAACAACACATGTAATTTCATAATAAATGCTTCCTACTTGTTCAGGATGTAGGTTGGCACCAAATCAACGTATGTACTTTTCTCAGGGGAATTTCCTTTTTTGTATTAAAGTTGAACATGTTCTCATTAAGTCATGTGGAACCCTTTGCAGCAATATGCAATAGGAAATAGAAGAAATAGAAGAGACATGGAAACAAAACAAACGAAAAAAAAACGACAGCGTTGCCAAAACACGCAGCAAGGACGGTGAGATGGACAATATCATCCATCTACTTAAGCCAACTGTGCTGCTTTGTTGTTAGCTTCTTAAATATTAACCATCATGTGGGCGATTGAGAGAAATTTAGGAACCCGGCATTCACTTTGAAATACAGTGGCAGAAATCAAGCCCAGACCGTGACTGATGACTTACCTGTTACAGGTTCATCCTTCAGCACTCGGATCTTCACCCTGCCTGCAGACAATTGCTGGGGACAGGGAACGAACAGTTTTACGCTTGCAACAACAGGCTCTCACCCAATAGGTTTGTCTGCAAAGTCCAGGGGTGGCACATTTGCATTCATGTCTGTTTTCAAGTTGGCGACATCATTTATTTCTAAACTTTGGGTACATGTTAAAATGGGTTCATTGTCCCGAAGCATTAGAAATGTATTACATTCAAATGCTATCCAATAGATGTCACCACAGGTACAAATTGAGTTAGTTTCATACATCTGAATAGTTACAGCGACTAAATTGTTGGGAGAATAGATATAAAAGCATAAAAAAATTGCTACCTTTTGGGTTTTCTTGGTGACTTGCGTCATACTGCTGCTGTTTATTGATGCTAATTGTTCTGATTTCCAATGAAAAATTCCTGATTGCCTAAACAAAGAGAGACAATGAGTAGGTATTGGTCAATTTTTGTTTGATCATCAATTCTACACGCATGTACCTCTCTAGAGTCTTAAATACTTTCATTTTTAAACATTCCCTCATGCGACCCCGAGATCCTTTACTCACCGGTATAATCGGGACCTCATAAGCCTTCCCAAGTGCAACCCTACCATCGCCTGTGCTCGCCTACCTATGCCTCACAGTGTTGTTCTGTAGTTGGTGCCTCATATTCACAGCCCTGTTGTATAATTTTACTCACGGATAACATACCGGATTGGACCTAGCATGGAAGTGTATTGTTTGGCTAATAAATCTTGGTTGTTGTTTTGATTTCTCACCTCATTTGGTTTGACCCACTTGCCACCGGTAAAATAAAAGAGAGTCATTGATGTTATTGAAGGCACAGGTACCAAGAGGCTATGTAGTGAAAAGAGGAAGCATCCACTTCAGAGCAGCTCATTTCAAGAACAAAGTCATTTTTCAAAAGATATTGGATTCAAAGATACACCTTCACATTCTTGGATCCAATCTAACAAATGAAATATCTTGCCGAACGTGTAGATTGTACTGAAAATGAAAAAAAAAAAAAAAAAGGGAACAAATCCAATGAGGGGAAAAAAATATCGTTAATGTTTCTTGGCTAATAAATCTGATTCTGATATATATATATATATATATATATATATGCAGCAAAGTGGCTGGATAGCTCAGTTGGTAAATATATATATATATACACACACAAAATATGGTATAGTAATATGGTAAAAGTGAATATGGAAGTTTTCTTTTTACTTTTGCTCCACCTCCCCAAGTCTTTTTTTTTTGTATCAGTCACTTGTCATACTTTGGATGTGTCGATAAATCATGTTTTTCAGTCATCGATGTACAATAACACACACACAATTTGGCATACTTCCAACAGACAGACATTATTAGATGGATGAGCAAATGTCATAACGAATTACCACTAACGGTTTAAAACCATGGAGAAGTATTAGAAGTAGTCGAAGCAGTTTCTCCGGCAACATACAATGCAGCAGGACTACTAAATTAACGAAAGAGTTTTGTGAAGATGAAAAAAAAAAAAAGCCTTCTTCATTCAGACGGGAGTTATTCACGCTCATCACATTGAATTATTTAAGCGATTGTGAAGGCTGTTTATTTTTGGTTGAGCTGGCAACCTGTCACAGAACGTCAAACAATAAATGTGTGTGAATGTGAATGTGTGTTTGAATGTGCCGACAGAGCTGCCACCTTCCTGAACTCTGTTAGTGTGTTGTGCTGACACAAAGGGTGGGTGTCAGGTAATCGCCCCAGCGCCATCTCCCTGGCAACTGACTATCGCCAAGGGAGACAACTCCGGCGCACCTCTGCTGGTGCACGGGTGACAAGTTGTCCCTTCAGGACCTGCTCCCAATCTATGTGGACTTTAAATTAGCAAAATATGTCAATATCTAATCCAGACAGACTCACTTGAATCGAGACACGGCTCCACACGTAAGAATAAAGTTGCTCTTAGAGATTCAACAAGAAGGGCACATTCACACAATCTTGTTTATCGGTCTTATGAAGCCATAATTACAGTGGAGTGCCATCAGGGCCTGCAAGGCCTTCTTCTCTGCAGCCCCAAACACTCTCAGAAGCACATACAGTACTTACATTTACAACTTGCATGAAATGGTAATAATTTCATTTCAAACATCCCTTCTGCTTTATATTGGTGTGTTTTGACCGATTGAAAAATAAAAGTTCTCAGGGGTCACAGAAGGAAAACTTATCTTTCTGCTAAATCTATCTCCTGTAAAGGCTTTTACCATTTTCCACCAAAGAGAAGGTAAGGAAAATAATTCATGAAGACAAACTATGTATTGAAGCGCTAGTAGTGTCTACAATTCTTCGAGCCCGAAAGTCAAAGCCACAGCTAGGAGTCGGGCAGACCCGATCATAGAAGGATGTTCCAATATTTGCTCCAAGCCTCCACCTCCTCTTAGCAAACTAAATTTGTCCAGCTATTTTTTGGGGCCCAAATAACGGAATCCGCCTGTAATACAAGGATAAGCCATTCATCTACTCTGGGAGCGGTGTGATCTTGGGGACAAGCAAAGAGAAAAACAAAAGTGGTGCATAATAAAGAAACACAACAACACGTAGAACCCAGAGTATAAATCACAGCTTGAAGAGCTGCAGGGCAGGCTTGTCAAAGATTCACTCCTATTGTACTGAGGAGGAAAATTTAGAGGGGGAATACTGAGAGGATTTCATTCTAAGAATCCTGCATGTCCTAAAGCGGAACATTAAAATAGGTGTACTTTGCCAATCAGAAAAGAACTGATGATATGATTGGGGAATAATGCTCATGTGCTAATCTATCATTACATTTACAATGTCAAATATGAAATTGCTGACAAAACGTGAGAAAACTAAATCAGCTCTCCAAACGTATGTGCGCGAAATGTGTTATGGTGACCGTTGAACGTTATTGTCACAATTCAAAATGGTATGATTGCCATAAAAACAACACTGCATGTTAGGAAACTTCAGAGGAACATCTTATAAATGACTTAAGGAAATGACTTATAAACGCACTATCTGGAAATGTTGACAAATTCCCATATACGATATGAAGTTTAAGTTAATGACCAAACTATCTTTGGGTTATTTACATATGTGTGTTAGCAGGTCACAGTGTGGCTAACGTAAGGGCAAGCATTACATTGGAAGAACTCTTGATTGTAAAACTCGCCATAGGACATAAGCAAGACAAAATCCTGTGATTTATGGACTGCTGTATCAAAATCACACAGGCAGCTGTGCCCACACCATGCATCATGAGGCCAGTGAAGCTGGAAATGTTGCAGTATTTCAACGTGACAGGAAGCACCGCGTTCTTGTGCTTATCTGTTTAGCTGCAACAGAGCTCTCTTCCCATACCGATTTATAGCTCATTTATTAGGAGCCGGTGTGTTGGGCTGCCGTCGTCATGCAGCCTATTCCAGCTGACTTCGATTCAAAAACAGACCGGTCGCACTCAATGAGAAGGCAGTTTTTTAAAAAATGTCATCGTGTGGGAATCATTCGCAAGTCTAACTGCACAAAGTCAATGGTGTGAACCACTAAACCACCACCTTTATACATTCAAACATTTACCTGGCCTTTAATACTGAGGTAAATTGGTATAGACGTGATCTCACTTGTAGCCTGGAACTACAACGTAAAAAGGGGATAATATCTCAGTGGCTCAGATTGTTTGGTTACTGGGTGTTCTTCGACCTCCTCTTCCTCTGCCTGATTTTTTTTCTCTCCAACCATCACTCATGTTTTTTTTTTGTTGTTTTTTTTGCATTACAACTGGTGAAATGGGCAGTTTCTCCGGACTTTCCTATAAGCCTCTTAACTGTCTGATCCCTCTCTTTAGCCCCTCTAAATACAACCCACCAACATGCCAGATTCAGTCGTAATGTTATTTTCTTATTACGGGAAAAGTCTCAACAGGTGGTCATAATGATTCACTTAGTTCTAATCTATATGCAGAACCTCAGAAAGGTGAGTACATCCCGGTGGTCGACTGGTTAGCATGTCGGCCTCACAGTGCAGAGGTGCAGGGTTCGACTCCGGCCCTGGCCTTTCTGTGTGGAGTTTGCATGTTCTCCCCGTGCCTGCGTGGGTTTTCTCCGGGTACTCCGGTTTCCTCCCACATTCCAAAAACATATATGGCAGGCTGATGGAACACTCCAAATTGTCCCTCGGTGTGAGTGTGAGCGTGGATGGTTGTTCGTCTCTGTGTGCCCTGCGATTGGCTGGCAACCAGTTCAGGGTGTCCCCCGCCTATCGCCTGAAAACTGCTGGGATAGGCTCCAGCACGCCCGCAAGTTTTAAAGAGTAATAACTTTCTTCACATTTGCCACAGGAAAATGATACTCCCATTGCTGGAAAATTATTCAAAAGATCTCTTTGATCATGTTTTTCTCACATCAATCAATTATTCTTTTCAATTTTAGACCCACACTTGCGCTTATAAATTCAAAAGCATGTTGAATGGGAGTCAGCACACACCCGTCCTGATTTAAAGTGCCTCTGATGAACCCCAAATATAGTAATCAATGCATATTTTAATTTAATACATGAATATAAATCGCATTTGTAAAAAATAGATATAATTCCCCATATGACATTACTCCGACCAAACACCTGATTCCCTACTCTACTTAGTCAAGTAAATAAACAGCCGTGCCACTATTTGAGGCTCCCTAACTGCGTGAAGTAAATTCACTTATTTCTGATATTTTCTGCTATTTGTCTCCTGTTACACTTTCAAATGTCCACTCCCATTTCCCCTGACTTTTACAGGCCTCCTTTATGCCCACCGCCTTGATACTCACCCTCTCTCGCCTTTCTCTCTTCTCATACTCTCTTTCAGCTTTTGCAGTTTCTCTTCCAGCTCATTGCCCTGCTGGGCCAGAGTCACCGTCTCCAGCTGCTGGCCTTGTGGGTTCCTATCGGGTAACACACACACATGCACGCACACACACTTATATGAGGCCCGTTAATGATTGTGGATCATACGAATGGCAGATCCGTGTTGCCGTGGCTGATCAATATTTTCATCAGTTAGTCACAGGGTAAGTGCACACGGACAGTGCAGTGGAGTGACGAAACATGCTGAACTGCAAACTGTCGTAATTCTAGTTACAAAATGAGGTGTATGTCTCACCAAGCAAGTTAAAAAAAAACATGGCAGACAAATGACACAGATGAACTTGTTTTAATCGCATCATTGATGTTATTTCAACTTACCTGGCACTGAACTGTAAAGATTTTGCTTTGGGAAGCACCACAAAGTCATTTAAATTCATGTCTCCTTTTGGGTTCGGTAGCCTGCGTCTTTCTGGTGGCTTATTACCAGGAGATTACTTCTGCAATAAGATCCAATCGTAATGCCGTTAAGTGCACGCTCACACTCACTTTGAAATAACATACACACAGTACAGCACTGTTGTCAATGACCTCTAAATGGATGCTGCTGAGAAACCATGACCGGAGCAGACAGAGTTGCCAAAGGCTTCGCAGGGTAGTTAAAAGAACTGGCAGTAATTGTTTAAAGGGCTATTGAGAAATTAGTTAAGTGAGACATATTGGGGTGGATTGTGATAACGAGAGCAGAGAAAAAGCCAGCAACACAGATGAAAGCATAAGGGCTTTGGAATGCGGGTTATTAAGTTTCATTCAAAAGGGTAAACATCGAAGAAAGCAAATATTTCGATTTCACCTCGGATTTTACAATATGAATATCAACAGACCATCCGTTGACCCATTTTCCATAGCTCTTGTCTTCATTAGGGCCGTGGGTGAGCTGGAGCCTAACGGGTTAAAGTGGGGTACACCCTGGACTAGTCATCTGCCAATCGCAGGGCACATGTAATAACACACATGTTTTTGGCAAGTGATAGTCAGGTGCAGTAACCAGAGAAGAAAATCCAATCAAGATCTGGGAGAACAAGCAGAGGTCAGAGCTGAGATTTGAATCCCAAACCTCTGAACAATGAGCACATCTCAATAGATTGTCAAATACGACAACCGCTCGTACACTGTCCTGCCTCAATAGACTGTAAAATTCTAATCAATTATTGAGATAAGAGTAGAGTATAGCGATGGTGATAAATAGTTAATCTTGTCATGACAGTGCAAAAATATCGATCTATCCATAAAGTTATAATCATGATTTAATGTATTAATTGTCTGCCACTGATCATGGAGCCTACTCCTGCTGAGTTTGTGCAAGAGGCAGCGTAAACCCTGGACTGGTCACCAGTCAATCACAGGGCAGATATCGATCGACAAACAAGTATTTACTCACATTCACACATGGACTATTTAGAGTTTTCGAAAAGCAGGTGTTAATGTGGCAGGAAACCAAAGTAGGTCCAAGCCGAAACATTGGTAATTGTCCACTCACAGGCTCAGACAGTAAACATAAAACAGTTAAATGAGAAATGCTGCTTCAATAACTTGGCTATTAGTCTGAGTTGAGCCGAAAAAAAAGGAATAGCGTGTAATAAGGTCAATAAATAAACAAGCACTAGCATTTACATGATTAGAACGACTGCTTAATTTAAAACAGACATATCTCAAGCAGCCGAGTCACCAAAGCAAATATATTACATCACTAACACACGAACATTAAGTCACCCTTAAACATATTTAGTCATTCTAAAATATCAAGTAACATAATGGCAAACACAAATACATTCGTGTCTGCGACGATTTATAAACCGTCAATTAGCGACATAGATTAAACTCACCTGACGTGATATTTTTAAAACAGTGGGTGTGAGGCTGGCTATTAGAGCACCGAAGAGAAGATTAAAACGTTTTTTATCAAGTTGTCGTAAAAAACGTGTTCGTTGTCGTTTGTTGTTTACCAGAAGCACGCGTCCGTTCAGCTGTGTTGTTTTCGGTTTCCGTGACAACCGAAGCACGTGATCCCAGCTCTCCTTTCGTTTGCAGTCATTATTATCTCATCAATAAACATTTGGCAAAATACACAAATAGTGGCCAGAATTAGCGTTTCTCTTATCTTTTTATTGTTTTCTTTTTATTCTTATTCTGTGTTCTATTTTCACAAGTCTTGGGACTTATTATGTGTTGTGTTTATTATTTTAGTTTACGTTAACTGTTTTGTAAAGCGCTTTTTTTTTACAGCTGCAGCTGTTGTGAAAGCGCTATATAAATCAAGATGTGTTGTATTGTTTTGTATTGTATCATTGCGCTAACCCGGGACCTTGGGTATTGTATTCCATGCCATACGACGTGGAAATGTATTTTCGATGGACAATAAAATTGCTTGAATCCTGGAATAATTATTTTACATCTTCACGTAACTTGCTTGCGCAGCTGTCTTACCATTCTGATGTTACTCCCGCAGTCATATTAATTGCATTCTCTTTTCTTTTTGAAAGAAGATGAAAGAGGCACCTGTGAGTTGGCAGTCTGTTACCTAAGTTCCGCTACAATGCTCCAACCACGGGAAGCTACAATCGCGAGGAGCTTCGCCCCAACGTGAAGCCGAATGCATGGAGGAGGAGATATGGAATGGAACGCGAGCTGATAAAAACTATCGGCTGTTGCACTCGTTTGTTTACTTTCAAACGCAGCTTGTTGCAAACGTCAGTAACGTCATGCACACTAAAATCGCAAGATTACCATTTCGCTGTCCTGACCATCAACAACTATGATCCTTGCACCCTCATACTGGTCGTTGGAGAATTCAAATTTTCTCCTCTCTCTCATTTACTCACATCGTCGTGCAACATGCACAAAAAGAGGGAATAAAACTCCGCGGTTCATGTTTGCTAAATGCAAATGTAATAGAAACTCTTGTACATTTAGAAACGAAGGTTTCTTGTATTCATATAATCATGTGTTTTATGTGTAACACTTTGATACAGCTGTTGGTGTTAAAGCGCAATATAAATAAAATGGAGTTATGTACAGCAACCAACACATGATGAAAATTGGATCAAGGCTCATGCTGTTTACAGCAACCAAAACATGATGAAAATTGGATCAAGGCTCATGCGGTTGCTGTTGTGAAAATAATGCATTATCCGCAAGGACTTTCACTTCATTGCTAAACCCTGCTCTTTGCCACCTTTTCTCAGTCTACCCATTTCGAGCTTTCTATTGCTCTACATGCTGGAGTCAGTACTCTTGCCCTTGCCACAATGGAAGTGTGCATGTGTGACTTATTGAGCGTAGCTGTGGGTGGATGGTCATTTAGGGTTGTGACCCCTCTGCTGGATTCTCTTTCCATTGCTAAGCAGTGACTCTCCACCACTCGTTTTTGCTCCCTCTCGCTCTCAGACTGGCCTGGAAAGGATGACACGCATGCGCGGGCATACCAATGAGTGGGAGAGGTAAAAGAGTGGAGAAAGAAGAGGAAGGGGGCTACTAAAATCAAGGATGCATGGTCGAGAAAAAGTGGATATTATCGACCAGAGGACAAACCAAATAATATGCAAGAGAGAAGGTGTGCGGGTTCGAAAAAGAATGCTTGATAAGGCTCAAACTGCAGAGCGGTTACCATAAAAAGGACACGTAAATCCGCTTTGAAATGTCAAGGCTATTTATGTCATTAGGCGGCAGCGACGACGGTGTGGTAATTAATGTCATCTGCTGAGTTTAACCTCTTTTGTGCTGCTTGATGCTACATGCGATCCCACACTTTATTTTTTTACTGTTGGTCAAATAGTATTTGGTCAATGACAAGTACAAAGGATTTAAGTCTCACATATTGAGTGTATATATGTCTGGAATGACGACAATGTCCATGGAGATCTCAGTTCAAGTGAAGGAGGTCAGAATTACGCTCTCGTGTGTTAGCGACGGGGGCAAAATTACATGAAAACATCAGACAACTTTGTCTCACCATACTGCATACATAACTTAAAAAAATTATTATTCTCCTGCCCCAACCGCCCCGCCCACAATTTCTCAGACTAATATCCATTCATTTGTATGAGATAACTTGTAGTTTTAAGAATCTGTTGGAAAAAATTGGGGGGGGGGACATAAATAAAAATCTACCTATCAATGGAAAGGGCGGTGGTGTGAACAATTCCGACAAGATCTGAGCCTGCTGTACTCGGTAATTATCCCAATGTATTCCTCCACATGCTTTCATTTTCTCCATACAGTCCAAAAACATGGAGGTCATTTGAGGTGAAGGATTACCAGAGTGCCCACTTCAACATGTTTGCTTGCTATTAATCCTGTGATTGACTGCAACACAGCGGATACCAAGTACTGTAGTTTCATCTGTTGAAGGCAGTGCTTCCTTCATTGTGTGTGTGTGTGTGTGTGTATCTGCAGAAGCCTGACATTGAACCTGTTCATTTGAATCAGGTGTGTTGCAACAGGGAGAGATGGAAAACATGCAGGATAGCGGCCCCTCCAGGACTGGAATTGCCCACATCTGCTCTAATTCATTCAATAATATACTACAGTATGCGAGGAAATGTGTGATAAGATACAAGTAGACCGAAAATGAAGTGAAATGAAATGTGACGGATGATATGGTGTCATGATCTGAGCAGAAGCAAGTCACTTAGTCGTCCCTGAGTAAAAGAGACGGACATGTAATAAGAGGGTCTGGATATGGGTGAAAGCGGGGATCATTGATCCGGATGAAAAAGGCCAAGTGGAAATGAAGGGCCTGTGTGTGGGTGAAGAGGGGCTGTGGAGGTGGATGAAGGAGTACAAGAAGTCAAAGAGGAAAAGACGGAGCAGCAGCAACGCGACGTGAGCCGCTATTCATCGTGCGAGCTGGCGGCCTTGCGTGACCCGCAAAGACACATGGCGAAGATTTTCATTATGAAAGTTAAAATGACCTGTACGGTACCGCTTGGCACACTTCGATTGTGCTGTATGAAACGCAATTCTAATCGGTTAGCTTTCCATTGTCAAATGTTAAGAGTACAGTGGTGCAGGCCCACGCTAGAAGAAGGTCGACATACTCCAATGCGTCTGAAAATTGTCAGCAAATGGGAAGAAAGCATGCAGAGGAAAAGGGGCGGGGCAGGGTCGTAACAGAACAGGAATGAAAACCAACAAGTGGGCAATTAAGCGAACTATACAATTCTAATTTGGGCTAGCGCCGATTGCTTTGTTGAGCGAGGCCCTTATTATTTTACTCTATGTAATTGCAGGTTGCAAGTAAGGGAATGTATCATAAAAGATGTACTGGAATCCAGGTCAAACATGACATTCAATAACAGAGAGAAGAGGTGGAATTGTATAATCACACGACCATATTATTCTGCCGAGACAAATAGCGGCACAAATATGATTTGGAGCCAACAATATTCTTTCTAAGGTTTCTTGAGGCATGTGTGTGGGAGAGAAGGAAATAACACACACACACACACACACACACACACACACACACACACACACACACACACACACACACACACACACAGTAGTCTGTCAGTGATGTGTTTGACTCGACTCTACTGCCATCTAGAGCTATTGAGTGACACAGTATGTGAAAGTTTGGGCTTCCCAGCGATGACATAGGCCAGCGGTCCTCAACCTTTTTTGCCCCACGGACCGGTTTAATGTCAGACAGTATTTTCAGGGACCGGCTTTTAAGGTGCGACGGATAAATACAACAAAATAATATGATATGACCTGCATGAAAACTGTGGTATTTTCGAAACAAAATAATAAACCCAAATCATGACACGAGGAACGTCCTATCTGTCCGTAACACTCTCTGGTTGCTATTGTAACGTTTAAACGTGCCTTCAAAATAAGATACAAAGCGCATGAAAAATACGACTCACCCTCACCGCAAATTATGCACAGTGCGCTTGGTGCGTGGGAATCTCCCGTTGAAATAAACCCGTATTTTCAGTCGGACTCCGGATATTTGTCATTAAATGTAGCCTTCTTTTTCTTAAAAGCCGTAGGCTCCTCTTCTGTCTACTGGCTGGACACTTTCCCCTTCCCAAAGAAACGTTTCAAAGACGTTTGTTTTTACTCTGTTCGCAAACTCCTGGGTTTGATTTTAGCGGTAACCTGTCACGTGACCAAAAAGTGCACCATGAGCTGCGTCAAGGGTGACATACTGTAGACGGATGTAACAGAGGAATGGTAAATTTTCAAATTAAAAAATAAATCATTCAGATTCCGAAATAAATAAAACGGAAGTAAGGTAAGGAAGTAAGATATTTATTCTTTCTGTGTGGCCCGGTACCAAATGACCCACGGAATGGTGGCGGTCCGCGGCCCAGGGGTCGGGGACCACTGACATAGGCCACATTAACAGTTGCCTTTTCAGTGCTTTCACCACGATTTCCTTCACAGTCAGATGGGTTGGGCGGATAGTGTGTGTGTGTGTGTGTGTGTGTGTGTGTGTGTGTGTGTGTGGAGAGTGGTGTTCTCCATGTTCAGACCATTCTGAAAATGGGACGTGAAGCATATATCACAAATGACACGTAATTTGTCACTTGCTCGTCTGTCACGGCCATATGTACGCGTCAACAAATCTGAAGTGACATGACGGAGTGGTCATGTGTTGGCATTTTGAAAAACGACTTATATGTGGCCATGAGAAGCACGATATTTTTTTGGGGGGCGTTACCTCTTCCGTGTATGTGTGTGCGAGTGAGCTTTTTATTCTGCCACGCACCAGCAATTGCAATGTTGTACAACATTAGACACCTGTCTACTCTGGCTGCGTATATCTGACAGTCATGTTAATTCTGTACAACTGTGCTGTTTGCCTCGCTGCGATGAAGAAAGCTGGCAAAGTGGCTTTTGTAAACATAGAACTTTGCCAAGACACAAAAATACATTCACACAATGGAGGCTATTCATGAATACAAACAAACAAAAAAGGAATAGAAAGCCTCGTAGAGATTGCACACAAAGCACATGCTGGCCAGATGCAAG